CCGTCCACTTCCACTGCCTTCACATATAGCGGAAGAAAGCTCAGCGCTAGCATCGCAGCCGCCCTATCAAGGCTGCACAGATTCACAGATTGATGTTTCTGGAACATCTTTGCCCCTCAACAAGTTCGTTTTCAGCTCATCCAACTGCTCTTCCGTTATACACTCGAACTAGTGCGCCGTTGTACCACTGCAGAAAGAAGCTCTTTCATATTTATGCCCGCGCCTTGAGCCAGTAGTGTTCAGGAAAGCCACCACATTCTCAGTGGAACAGCCTCAATGGCACAGGGAATTATGTGCTATTTCCGTGCAAATTTTTAAGTCGGCAAGGTACCTTAATATAATTTGGAAGTAAGAACGTTCGAGGCGAAGTGGTGATGCTCAGAACACGGTAAGAGCTCAGTGGCTGCCAGGAGAATCGTTGATTTGGTTACTGCTCCGGAAAAAATACAAACGTCAAGACCACCAGCAGGCTAAGCAAAAGCATTGTTCAAAGCTTTGCCAGATGCACAATGGAAAAACCAGGCTGTGAAATGCGGCTGATCAAAGTAGCAAATTCTGATTTCCCCGCTGCTGATTTATCTATTTGTTTGACAATTGCAGGATTGTGATCGAAATTGACGAGGCAAATACTCCAGAAAGACGGCGATCAAGTGTTTTCCACAGTCCTTTAAGTACGCATTTATCTACAACAAGTACTCATTTACCCAGTAAAACTTGAATTCACGTCCGTCAAATGCACTGTTTCATAAGCACTCCAAATTTTTTGGAAAAGGTAGAGTAGGGGTTAACAAATGTTCTTGTAGAGGAGTATTTTTTCGCTATCCGTCATCATTGATGCCGGTTGTTGGCAGGTTTCAAAACCAACTTCATAACTTCGATGATTACCAATTATTTAGAGTAATATTAACTGGAAACACATAGACATTTCGGGAGTAGTAGAAAGGCACAAAAAAAAGGAAAGGAAAAAATGCATATGGCTGGGAAACAGTGCGACATTCTCTCAAAATATTCGCCCTAATTTCGAAAAGCATAACGCCCAATCACAACTCGCAGTCTAAATGGGCACTAAATTGTTACCTAAAAAGGTGCTTCTTCAAGAAGGTCATTACCAAGAATAATAAGATCGTCCGGACAGTCCGTGTAAATAGATATATTGGTGTTGTTATTGAAGTGCTCCAAACCGCCGGGCACAGCCGTGCCAGGCTGTTCGATCCTGAACTGCACACCTCCAGCTAATATTCTGTGGTTACAAAAAGGTTATTTCTAGACATTGGCGAATGCGAAACTGTTAAAACAGGGGCATACGAGAAAAACATACATGCCACAGAACAACCCAAATCTCAGCCGGCAAAAATTATCGCTACTGCGCATTCCAGTGGTGAGTTTTCTTTGTGTTTTTAACTGAGCTAGTTCAAAACACATTTGTTCGGGAGGTAATGAATCAAGTCCCACCTACAGCTCATGTCAAAATTATGTGGCTTTGTCCCAAACTCAAATTTAAGCGGATTTAAAACATAGCTTTGAAAGTCCAAGAAAGTAACGAACGCCGTGTTCGCCCAGTTTTTCCAATCACCGGCAAAAACTGTTCGCCTCGTTTATCAAATTAGAATAGAATATACACTGCTTTGGTAAAAACAAGCTGAAAGATGGGAAATTTTTGAAGTGTCAGCTTCAAAAAGGGTATACGAGTTTGGGACAATGTGGACGAATTGGGCAAACAAAAGTTTCTACAAATTTCTGTAAATTTCATAAAAACAACATTTTTTTAACAAAGATTCATTCAGTTGCTAATCATTTGCTTTCTCCCTTGACATAGACTTTTCTGAGAATTTTTCTTTCTTCCAAAAAATTATTCCATTCGTTTTCTGCAGGCAATTATTTGTCGGTGGACGTTCCGCCACAACGAGCTCGTAGCGCCGAAATGATTCTTTTGGTGCCAGACGATGAAGACCGCCGTCGCGCTTCCTTCGAGCTCTACAAGAAAACAGTGCAACACCGACGCTTGTTACCCGACATTGAGCAACTAAAGAAGGTAGGCGTTTCAAGTTACCACTGCAGTCTAATTTAGCGGTCAGAGCTCTGGTAAGGTGTTCGATTCAAAAAGCAAATCGCTTTTACTGATCGCGGTTTTTTTGGACATCCAGTTTTCGTTTTCAGAAACTTCCAGTACAAAAGAAAAAAATGCATAGAATTGCGTAATCCTTGCGTAGCTCCCCTCAGTTAACCTGGGAGCTACGCAAGGATTACGTAATTTCTATGCATTTCCTCGTGATTTTTCTCGATAGGCTTTCCAATGAATGCTTGTGCGTAAGGCGCTCATTCCCTTACAACCACCAGTACGTTTTCTATAACAGCTCCTTGCGAAACTGTTTGTTCAGTTTGTGAATATTTGCTTCTGTGCATGCATCAGAGTCCAGTAAGTGCTTTGAAGTCATAGTGCTTGCTATATTTGTTTCTCGAACCCACGAAACGCACCTGGGGCAATCTCATTTTATCAAAGGCAATTTAAATTTTTGTTTCTCTCAAAAGGTTGCTTTTAACTGAAAAAAATGGACTGGCATTAAGCAAAAAGACAGTGCACTCTTGGAGATAGCTACACGAAGGCACAGTAGGTGAAAGAATATGGAGGGCAAATAGCAACTGCACTGCTCCATACAGCCTTCAGATTCATATCTTTTCAAATATAAAAATCTAATATATCAGTATTTGCTTAATAAATAATACTACCTAAAGGAAAAATATAGTAATGGCAGTAGAAAACGCTGAGACTGAAGGCATAGTATCAATATTTACCGCACAAAGGATCAACTGGAAATAGAAAAAATAGTGAAGAAATATTTTGTCAAATCAAGTATTCCAATGAGAGTAGATAAAGTCAAATGGATTAAAGTAATGTTTTCATGCATAGAGAGTTTGTAGTGTTTTGGGATGTTAAAAATATGTGATGTTTTGAAGTAAGTAAACCAAGAATTGGGACTGATGTTGTAGGTTAGGATACAGTGGTGGCGATGTTCTCACGTTGTAGCATTTCATTTACATTTCGATTGAATTCGTACGTCAGAAGAGAGTTTAGTTTAAAAGCTGATTCTTTCAACTCAGACACCATATTCTTATAAATATGAGCGCAGTGTTTCAATCACAACCGGATTTTTATTCCGTGGTCGTACAGTAACACCGAGGAATTGCACAAAATTCACACTGAGATTTTCGCTTCCACTCAGAATCCATTAGCGCTTATGTCCTCAGGATTTCAATTAAAGCTGAATTACAGAGTGAATTTACCTGCGCATACAACACGTATGCGCGTGAGTAGGCAAACCTTCGCCGCGTCTATAATGCGTTTTCGACTTAGGCATGAACGGAGGAACTATGGTGAATTAACTTAGGCAGAAACGGAAGAATTATGAAAACGAACTGGAACTGAATAGAACAGAAATGTTTATGGCTGGATGCACGGATGAGTGAGTGTAGTGAGCAAGGCATTTAACAGCCAACAGTAAAATAAAAGTTTTCAGAGAGACCTTTTTTAATTTTAGGTCTTTTTTTAAAATTTCTGCAACAAAAAGTGCGGTGATTTGGAATCTATCATGCTCCTGCATTAGCTTCTTTTTCCTGGATCTGTTCATTTCGGGTCGCTGAGCTGCTGAAGCGTACGGACTGTCAGCGACTGCGGCAACAATTTAGTGGAGTATAATGAGAAATAACACATGAAAAAATAAGAATCATCCTCTTGAGGAACTGTTGAAACATTTATACTACTGTCCAACGAAGGAAGTTGGCTCCTAGAACAGTAAATAATGAGCAGTAAAGAGGCAGTATGTGAAAATTGTGGACTACGCAGGCCATATTTGTACCATTTCTATTGCAGTATCACTTATGCACATTTTCGTGCTCGTTAGTATTCTAAGCGTGCATGATCAGACGTTATTACATCTCAAGATTGCTGCACTAAGCACCGGAAAGCACTTGGCAGAAATGTTTATAGGAAGACGTTCTTTTTTTTTTTGTTCGCAAGTGTCGTCTACCAAAAGATTTCGTTCGCATCCGAGACAGGAAAAAGTTCGCATTCGTCTCAACGAATTTCGTTCAGAATATCGGAGAAGCAGTTTTTCAGTGCAGTCTCCGTTTTGTCAGATGTATTTGCACATGGATCATAGTGCGCGCTGCATTGCGGGTTCACAATTCCGTGCTTCTTTGTACTGTGTTCAGCAATCCTCGTATCACCAAACATTGTGATACCGCAGTCTTTACATCTGCAATAACATTGAAATGTGTGTGATACAACAATGTGCACTGGTGATGATTCCGTTTCTAGGTAGAGTTTTACTTTAATTCGCGCTGGCACCCTTAGGTACTCGTGCCGACCAAGTAAAAAAGACCAACACACCATGCTCCAGGTTAATTAATTAGGTATGAATCCCAGAGCTTCGACCAAGGGACTCAGATCGCGACTGCGAAGGCAATCGCGATCTTCTCCCAGCGTGCTCTCGAATCGAACAAGGAATACACGAGGTGAGGAAATGCTGCTGTCGCCCTAAATCCTATGGAAGTGCAGCTGAAACAATTAGTAGCTGCACATCTGGGAGATGGATGGGTTCAAAAATCAAAAAAAAAAAACAATTTTTTGAAATTTCTACTCACTGTTGGTGATTTTTCTATCACTAAGACATAACTAAGAGATAGGGTGCAATGGATTTTTCCCATACAGAAAATCGCGCTAGATGTTTGGTGAAATTCAGCAGCAGTTGTCCCATCTGCCGTACAGAATCATTGAGTAACGGGACATTTCGCGAACTGAAAATCTTTAAATTGCAGCTTAACTGCGATTTCACTTTAGCCGAAAAAATTTAACCCAGGCCGTAACGCACCAGACTTGCGGTGCGTTTTTGCTCTAACCTCGCAGTCGTTAATAGCAGGAATGGTTCCTACGCTGCAGTTTAACAATTGATTCATACTAATTGTATTTTGTCTTTTTCTGCGGGAAGAGAAAAAAGGGGTCGACTGGGACGAAAGTGTTGCAATATAGAGCCGCGTATAATCCCAGCGTCTATAATTACCAGTTTTTTGCAAGAAACCCGGTGGCTTTTCCGGTGAGCGGTGATTCATCTAGAAGTACAAATTTGAAAATGCACAGGATACTGAGCAGGAGGACAATCAAATCTGCAAAATGCACTTGCTTTTGGGTACACGAGAAAATTGAGTATTTGTCATGCCCGCGTGCAGGAATTTCACTCCAAGCTCAATTAATGCCAAATGTAAATATAGAACACCTTGCAAAATTTCAGCTTTGCAGTTTGTCTGACAAGCGAAATAGTCACTTCGCTGCAAATATCTTTGAAGTGCCCTAAGTCATGCAGTAAGTGAAAATCGATTTTCAAGTTGCTAAGTTGAAAGTGGGTGACAAAGTTCTCTTTAGGTATACGATTTTCCATATGAATGATATGGAAAATCGCATATCTAAAGTCGTATATCTCTGACAAAATCATATATCTGTGAAAAATCGTATATCACTGACAAAATTTCAGCTGCTTCTTTCCTGTTAGTGTTCGAGTTGACACAGTGCCAACTGCAAAATTTGATATGATCGGACGCAGAGTATAAGCGAAGTATAAGCGTGCGCGATAGCTGAATTTGAAATCTTTAGCTAATACACGCACTTCAACATCCTATTATTTTCGGTTTGCGAAATTGTCCCCGATAAATAAATCTGCATATTTTTTTTTCCGGGGGACGCTAAATCTAGGCGCGTATGAGCAACGATTTTAAAACTGGAGGGTAACACACTGGACGGGAATGTGTCCTCAGAGTTTCAGCCTCCTAGTATTTTTGATTGCTGAGCTGAAAGTCAGTAACAAATTTCACACATACACACAAACGCGCACGACGACCTCTCAGCATTATCCGTTTCTGTTCACTCTATCAGTGCTATAGTGCTGCACAGCAAAAATGCATAAAAATGCGTCAAGAACCATTAGGAAAGTCTGCAGCGACATTCCGACATTGTACTTTTTATGAGTTCTTGCATATTATGCAAGCGCAGAAACGCATATTGGCAAGAGGCTCCCTGTATTGCTAATCAGTCTCATACTGGATAGATGAAGCATGGCGGAGCGAGGCTTTAAGATAACTG